CGGGACTCGTGTCTTTGCAGCCTGCTCTGGGTGACCCTGCTTCGGCAGGGGGTTGGGCTGGATGACCCACAGAGGTCCCTTCCAGCCCCGAACATTCTGTGATTCTGTGTACTTATGCTAGCAAGGACTAAAGAAAAGAGGTCATTGGTTTTCTAGAAGTAAACCAAAAGCCCACATACTACCCTGTCTTTCTAGTTTCCACGTGAAAACTATGGCTCAAATGAACCCATGAGTGTTGCTATGGGACTTGGCAGCTTCACGAGAGCTAATCACGAAGTAGTTGCCTCTCATGACATCCTCAGTTTTCAATCACCTTAACTTAAGACAGTCTGGATGTTCAGCAAAACTCAGACCTGACAGCCTCAAAGGAAATCCCTCATAAAAATGGAGGTTGCTGGAGCAAGTCCGACCCAGGATGGAGGTCATTCTGCTGTGGGCCTTTTGGGCAGGAGAGAACGGCCTCTGCAACGCCACGGGGCAGTTTGAGAGCTGATCGCCTGGTGCTAAAAGGCAACAGTACTCCTGCTGATCATCTGCACTGCTCTTCAATCTCTCAGGCTCATCAAGAGTAAGAAAAAGTAAAATGTAAATGTTATTTGCATTTCTAAGCAATGGGTCACAAATTAAAAGTGATGTTCTTCAACCTGTAGTCCCAACAAAAATGAAAACAGCAGTGTCACTGAGATCATTTTCCCTGCTCCCATTAGGACAGGCAGAGATCCACGACACAACTTTGACTTCTTACTACACATCTAGCTTACTAAGTTGCACTCTGTTCTTCTGCCCTGCAGCATCTTTCTCCTTTCTCAGTGCCAGTAAAATGCAGGGAAAAGTGCTGATCCCCAGCTCCTGCAGCAAAGGGCTGCTTTCTCTGAAGTCAGTTCCTCTCAGTTCTCTCACCTTGCTCCTTGACCATTCTCCTGCGCGTCGCCCCTACTCTTTGCACGCAGGCAGTCCTTTCCAACAACTGAGCTGCACCTTTCCAGCGACAAGCTTGGTGCCACGCAAGATTTCACACCCGTGTATAGGCCCTAGGGACATCACACAAGTCTTCCAATTTCTTCGCCAGTCTCTAACTATTCACTGGAGGTCTGGTCTGCCCACTACACACAAGCTCCTGAGAAACAGATCACTGCCTGCTTTAGACACAATTACTTTGCATTCCGGGGAAAAAAAGAATCTCACGGTGGCGTTAGAAAAGCCAAAGGCTTATATTGCTTGAGATGGAGCTTGACAGACTCATGATGGAGGTTATGAGACATGCCTACCCCCACTAACAAGGGCCGATTTGATATGCTGGGAAGTCTCTCCAGTCCCACCTTGTTAGTCCAAACTCTCAAACGCGCTCTTGGCTGGTGAAAGCGGCCTTTTGGGTGAAGTTGTGCTGCAGCCGACGCCGTACAGCAGCTTGGTTCCAGCAGCTCTCTCCCCATCGCACCGCCACGCGTGCTCCAATTATTACAGACCACTCTTTCTTCCGTAACGCCAAAGCAGAGCCTGGTCTCTCCTCGCTAGAGAAGTCCACAACCCTCCCGAGTTACTCCTCGGTGATTTCCCATGTCACAACCATGAGCTCAGGCTGTGCCCTCCGTCCCTGGCAGTGACAGCAGCCTGGGCACAGCATTGCCACGGGCGGCAGCACGGGGGGTACCAGGGAGTACCCGGCAGTGACGAAGCACCCAGCCGTGCTCCATGGGGAGCGTGCCGCGGGGTCTGCCCCAGCGGGGAGAGGGCATGCTGACACCGACACACCAAAACCAGGCAGCGTTCCTACCAGGCAGCCTTCCTACCTGCAGCCTCCAGCCTTCTGCAGTCCTTTCCCGAGGACATTACTGTCTGTAAGAGGGAAATGACCTGACACAGCTAATTGGATATGATTTAGCTTTTCTGGAATAACCACCTCTGCAAATGCTCTATATATCCCCCTTCCAAAAAAACACTTTTCTTTCAGAAGTCTCCACAATGGAATTAATCCAGAACAGCAATTTTCCCCACCTGAAGATAGGGTTTTGGGAAATTTTGCCTTTCTGCTCTGCATTTTTTTGTCAAGCTTTAAACCATTCTTCTGACCCTGATGCCTCCTTTAAAACAAAACAAAACAAAAAAAACCCAGCAGATACTATCGCCGACTTTTCTATCCATGTTGACAGAGAAACGAGCCCTTTCCTGAACAGATTTGAGAGAAGTCCATATGGTCATAAGGAAGACATTTACCCACCAACCAGTCACATGAAGCTGCGCTTCAGACATTTAAAACAATCTGACCTAGTCGCGTGTCAAAACCAGGCAGGGAAAAGGAGAAGAGAGCCCAGAGGAGTTAAAACCAGATTTCTGGAGGGACCAATACCAGGGGGAAAAGCCCTACTTCCACGGTGTGAATGGAATAAAGACAAGTTACCGTCATTTGCTGACTTAGCATTCAAATCCACACGGGGCAAAGAAGAAACATAGCTGGAAAACCTTGCAACTTGAGGTTCCCCCCGCCTCTTCATCGCACATGTGTGTGTGTACACACTGAATAATCCCTCCATTGTAGTAGCTACAAGAAAACAATAAGGATGCAGTATTTTTATCAGACCGGTTCCTAGCAGGAATCTGCACTCCACATAAAACCGGTCAGAGTCAGCAACCAGGCCCAAAAACTGGCTGAAACAGTCTGAAAAACACAGGCAGAGGCACATCAGAAACACCACGGTAAGCGATACTGCAACGACGCTGCCCAAATAACGGGGCAAACCCACAGTGTTTCTATCAGTGTTTTTAGAAAAATCTCTATTTAAGTAAAAATACAGCACTGAAGACATCTTCCTAATGGGAAAGACTGTGAAACTCAACCAAATGGAGATGTGCACAATTATTTCAAACCTGTGACTAAAAGGAAGACTGAGACGCAATCTTGTTTCCGCATCAGATTGTTCAACACACAAGCGCCGGCTCTTTCTGTTGAGCTAAAAAGGAGTCTTCAAGTCAGCGACCGCTTGGCTGTCCATAAATGCAGTGAGTGCGTGTGTTTCTTGAGGACAGCCAGAAGGGTTTCTCTTCTCCTCCCGCCATCACACACACTCTACTCCCAAAGCTATTTTCTTCTGCTCTCCCCCATCCCCAGTAAGAGATGCTAACTCTGACCCAGCATCAAGCTGAAGCCGATTTGTTGTCTGCAGGTAACACACGGGCAGCTTTTTCCATCCTCAAATAAAAGGATGTGGAAGA